ACCCCCAGGACATTTAGATATTGAAAATGGTTACATATCACATAACTTTTATCAAATGGAAGCGCCAATGGAAATTTACTTTACCAGTGTTGACTGCCAGTGGAATGCTGAGAAAGATGAAAAGATACAAGTAAATGTCCTATTACACTGTGCCGGACCTAAAGTTTATCAATTTACATGGGCAAATGCAGAACATAAACTGAAAGTGAAAAAAAATATTTGACAAAATAGAAAGCTATTGCAATCCTAGAAAAAATGAAGTGCTAGAATCACACAGATTTTGGGTAACAAAACCAGATAAATTATTCATCATTTTGACAGTTTTTCTTACAGAGTTTTGAAAAGCATGTTGAGTCCAGAAATATATTTTGAAATATGTTATTTACAAATCAAATCACTCAGTCAGGCTGAGCCACCCTTAACATTTTTTACATAACTCCTTAGACTATTGATATATATATATATATATATATATATATATATATATATATATATATATATATATATATATATATATATATATATATATATATATATATATATATATATATATATATATATATATATATATATATATAAGGTAAAATTATTAGCCATATATGAGTTTATGATTTGCATGGGCAGTTAAAAATTAAAGCCATTAGTAAATTTAAAAAAAGGTTGACCTGGGATAACCAAAGTGAAGAGTGAAATATGACACTCAACACAGGTACATTCTAAATATTTAGATTGATGTTTATGATCAGATTTAGCACAAATAGTAATTTAATTTCCCCTGATATCACAAATATGAATTTATTTAGAGTCCTGAAGATCTTTTTATGATGAAATCTTAACTGATAAACCAGGTTTAACTGAATAATTTTTAAAATTCCTTGCCACAATGATAACTAGAACAGTAGTACATAAAGCCAGTCAAAAAAAAAATATTTCTATCCATATTCATCATTCCTGGACCTCCATCCATTTGATGAATTTCTCCAACTGGTAAATTTTTCATCTTATTATGTTTTGTTTGTTAATATAAAAGATTTTTTTTATGTTTATATACAGCTAGAATAGTCTGTAATGGCTAAGATAGACATATAAGAACAAACTATTTAGTAAATATGAGTTACATCCCTTCAAATGGAGATAAAGATGAAACCCATAAGAAATTGCCATGTCTGACAGACAGCAAATTTATAAAATTCTGCAGGCTCAGTTTGATTAGGCCCATTGTGGGTGAAAAATGAAATGATATCATTTTCAAGGGATGTTTCTGATATGATTTACTTTAAATAATGGTTCATTATCAATGAATGTTTCTTTGACTTCTATGCCCATGTGTAATAGATTATTGACATTGCAAGCTAGATAGCTCAGCTGAGTGAGTCAGTACAGCCCACATACATGTATAATATTCTGATTCAGGTTTGATTCCGGTCAAAACTGCACATTTTTCTCACCCTGTGATATTTTCAACCCTGTTACTTTTAGGGTCCAATATATGTTTATGATGGTACATAACTGAGTCATTAAGTCAATTCACTTTGTTACTTAAGTGTGCCAATGAAAAAGGAAAAATTTCAATATGCTGTGGATTATGTCAATGCATAGAACTATGAGACTGAAAATATTTAAGCTGTAGAGCTGCTGTATGGTATTCCAAGGGTTCTGGGTTTTTTGGGTAGTGCTGAGGTATGGTATTTCTGAGTGTCTCTGGTTTGAGTTTTAGTCAGGCTGCATTTCATTTTCTTCACTCTTTGATATTGGATAAATATTTTTCAGCTCATTATTGGCTGGGACTGCATATATTAATGATTTATTTGTATTAAATCAATATTGTTAAATAATTTAGTTATTGTCTATATATGCATGTGACTTTATTTTTGATAAGGCATTGTAACAGAACTACTTCTTAATTTGACCTTTTTTGTATTGGGGGAAGAAGCCCTTAATTAACTCCTTACCAGTAAGTTTTATTGTACACGATGATGATTAGCTTGAAAGGATTTAGCTAAAAAAGATACTACATGAATCTTTTTTTCCTATTGGATTGTAAAATATTTTATTGATTGTCAAAAAAACTGTATGGAGTTCTCCTCGGTGACATTAAACAGTCCCAGCTGGCCATACATGCAGGACCGACCTTGCAGACCATGAGACAGGGTGGTCTGTACCAAGACAAAATCCCATATCGAGACATGGGTGGACAGGACAGACAGTGATGTTCAGATCCCCCACTCAGAAAGGAAGTTACTACACTCAAGGTTCTGGTCTTCAATTACTTCATTTGCTTACTTGGAGTAAAGGTGCCAGAAACAATAGTATGGTATCACAAAAAGCACAGACTGTGATAAAAGTCAAACCAAAAAAGATACTATAAACTGAATTCATAGATTATATAAAAAGAAATTTATTAATTTCTTTATAGTTAACAAAAAAAAAAGATACTGAGTATTTAATTTTGATATATAGCATATTAACACACATAAAGTGCATTATGCCATATAAATTTCAACTTAGTGCTTAAATACTTTCTGATGAACTCAGTAAGCAAACATGATTTACTAATCTTTGGATTCACACACTCCTCTCCACCTAAGCTCCATGAGATCCACTTGGTTGACCATAACATGTACCATACCTCATATTGTTTGTTTACAGTTTGGAATGAAAAAAATGAAAGTCTATTCTAGATATTATAAAGCTTAATTTTATTAAATTTCACAAGGCTTTCAACACATCAACAATGTAATTGTCATTTTATTTTTTTAAATTGTGTTGGACTGCTGGTCTGATTCATGTAGATGCTGTGTTGGCATATAGCGATTCCCCTCTTTTGTGTGTGTGTGTGTGTGCATGCATGCGTGCATGTGTGTGTGTTTTATACATTATATAGTTAACATCTTTTGAAAAACATCTTGTCCAATTTCAACCAACTTGACAGGGTTGTTCCATGAGTAAAGGGCTTCCAAAGTTGTTCAAAGACTTAAATGAGGCCTAGAGCATAGATATTTTTTGCAAAAGGCATTGTCTTGGTAGACATTCACAAGATTTTCACATTATACCCTGGGTGTCAAAGTAGCCCTGCACTAGGGTTCATAGATTTTTCCTGATATGTATGTAGTTAAAACTTAAAATCTTCTCCTCTGAATTGACAAAGACTAGAGGTTAGATATTTGTCATGGAAACATTTGGTAGTTAACCTCTACACCAAGATTATTCACGTTACAGGCCCAAGGGGTCAAAATTAGCCTCACCCCTGGGGTCATATATTAAGGTTTCCCTTATATGTATATAGCAAAAACTTTTTTTAAAAAATCTTTTTATCAGAAGGTTTAAGGCTTAGAGCTTAGATACTTGGTAAATAATATCATAAGTACGTCCTTTACCAAAGTTTGTTCAAATGTTGCCCCTAGTGAAATAGCACCAGGGTGTCATAGGTTTTCCTTAAATGTATAAACATGTATAGAAAAAAAAAACTTAAAAAAATATTCTCCTCTGGATTGACAAAGGCTAGATGTTTGATATTTGGGCATGAAACTTTACGTGTGTAATAAAACCTCTATCACTATTGTTCAAATTATAGCCATGGGGTCAAAATCGCTCTGCCAAGGAGTCTTTTCGGGTTTTCATTATATATATGGTATGTATATAGTAAAAAACTTTAAAAAAAATCTTGTCTGAAGGTACAAGGTTTACCAGGCACCATGGTGTCTTAGGATTTCCTTCAATGTATATACATGTATAGAAAAAAAAAAACTTAAACAGTATTCCCCTCTGAATTGACAAAGACTTAGAGGTAAGATATTTGGCATGAAGCATTGTGTAGTCGACCTCGACCAAGATTGTTTTTAATTTTAGCCCTGGATAAAATTTGCCTTGTGGGAGGGTTGGGGGGAGTCATTAATTTTCGTAATGTACTTGTAGTAAAAATTTAAGAATGTACAAGGCTAGAGCTTAGGGCTTTGATGCCTAAATTTTGTCAAGTACAAATGCTTTTATTTTGAATCAATAATTGCACTATGGAGTGCATTTTTTTCCAGTGAATGCGTTTTGCATGTAAACAAAAATGTTCACCTAACTTTTAAGTCTTGCTGAATGAATTCAAATACCACATTTTTGTAGACTACAAACCCACATGTTGGTCTTGTTTTTAAAGTAATAGATAAAAACACTGAATACTCTATTTTAACAATTTTCAGCATTGTATATCTGCAGATAATAAACCGGTCTTTGCAAACTGATTTCTGTATTGCTCTTCAATTTCGCAAACCATATAGTCTTGCCTGGAAAAACACAGCACTAGTCTGTAGGAACAACACCTCTTTCTTGTCCTATTAATAACTTGAAGAAGATATAAGCCTAAGATTTGTGTTCGAAATTGATTGTAACCAGAAGATGACTTCTATTGAGTTCAGTAGATTAAAATCACATGGTCTTGATGTCAAGCAATGTATACCTCAGTGCTTGCAGTGCCTTTGATTATTCCAGATATTGGATTTCGTCTTCTGTAGGGGTAGGCATATCACAGAGTTTTCGGGCAATGATTTCGGAGATTTTGTCCCACCCATTCCAATTATCCATAGAGTATTATCAAAGATGAAATTCGATAAGGAAAAAAGTGTTTTTTTTATCGTGCCTTGCTTAAAACCAGCTTGCTTTTTTTTGGCCTATTTCCTCTCAAAACGGAAGTTTTATGTCTATCGTTAAAGATTAAGAGATTAATACACAACAGAGTAGGGCCGGAAGGTGATAATCGGCCCGCAAAATGAATAATGGCCCCGAGGGCTTCAGCCCGAGGGCATTATTCATTTCAGGGCCGATTATCACCTTCCGGCCCTACTCTGCCGTGTATTAATGTCTTTAATACACTTGGTAGATCTAATGGTAGCATTTAAAAAAAACAAATACTTTGAAGTTCTTTCGTTGAAATTCTTGTCTACACTGTGAGAACTACTGTTCTGTACAGACATGTTTACTGTTTGTGTGTTCAAAGCAGTAGAATCTAGAAGCAAGTTTTAGTTTTATTTTTTCAGAATGAATTTGTCGTATTATTTCTTCAAATTTCAATATTAACAAAAATTTGTTTGTACGAAATACGCTTAAGCTCTCATAATAAAATAAAGCGATTCGTGCTGATAACCTACTTTCACTTTTACAGTTAACCGTTTGATGACGTAAAATATGACGTCATTGTTTCAGAATGTGCACGTGCACATGTTCCGCGGGCTGAAAACTAGTTCTCGACTCCGGGCCGCAAACTCATAATAGGTCACGTGACACTCATAATCAGTTGAAATCATAGGCAATTTTGTTACTATATTTAGTAACAAGTGTATTAATGGATAGATTTGCCTACAAATAAACATTTTTTATACTCGATGTAAGTCCGGGAAAGGTATTTTCAGCAATTCCGAGTGATATTTACTGGTTTTTCAAAGGGAGATTAATTGTGCTACGTATATCAGTATTTTAATTTAGAGTTGTCCCCCTTATAGTAAGCAATATTCAGTATTGTCAGTGAAAAGGCAGCATTGCATGATCGTATTAAAGCATAAACTTTTTAACTATGTTTTTTATCTAAATAAATTAACTACAATTAGAACATGCTTACATATGTAACCGCTGTACTAAAGAGTTCAGTTTTTAAAACAAAAGTTTTATATTGAGAGTATACTTGTGATACAAAATTAATATAAAAGCCTAATGATACTTATCAAAAATATTTAAAGCACATGCCTCCGGAATCATGTTAATTCATACTGTATAAGTTTAAATATTCCTCTCATGTACGCCTGCGATAAACTTTAAAAATTCAATTTGCTTTTACACAGATTCTGTTTCTTGTGGAAATACTTCACTGAGGTTGCAATTCCTTAGGAACTCGGCCATCTTGCGGGAATATCTGAAATTTATCATTAATTTATCGCAATATATAATGCTTCAGAATATTAACTAATGTTTAGAATAACACCAATGTTTTGCTCTATGCCAATGTCTATGTATTTTATATATCCTTTGCTATCATCAGTAATATTGATCAACTAAACTAATCGGAATATAAAAACACAATAGAGAATATATACAGTGCGAAAAACATCTTATAACATGCTTATTCTTATAAACGTTAAATGATAGCTTCAATATTTTATCATTCAAATTTTAGAGCTTTTTAGTAAGTGTTGAAATACTTACATTTGACAATTCCTGTAAATTATGTTATAATTTCTATTCTGATTCCACCAGGCAACTTCGAACTCAAGGATTCTATAAGCACACCAGGTTTCTTCCGTAAATTCGTGGTGACTTGTTTCAACGCAACAATGGAGATCCGCATGAGAGCAATCGATATTCCTCTGCAATAAAAGTACATTTTCATATTCATGAGATTCAAAATCATTGTGTGAGTCGAAAAATGCTCAGTTGAAATAAAATATATGTATAATCTATGTGAAGTTAAAATTGATACATTTGATTTGATTTATATATTTGTATATAGTTGTTAAATAAATGGGAACAGCAATGGAAGCTCTATGGCACTCTCTTACGCTTCGCTTTTTAGGGGTAAATTTTAAAATGACTTTTTAAGACAACGTTCTTTAAAACCCAGTTAATGGTTCCGTTTTCTTGACGATATATCTTGTATATGGAGTTATTCCCTTGATGATTTGAATGCTTTCATTGATAGTTTGAATAATTTTCATCAATCTATAAAATTTACAGCTAACGTTTCCAAATCTCTTATATCATTTTTAGATGTAAATGTTTCATTAGACGAAAACAATATTATTCACACTGATATACATGCTAAAGAGACAGATGATCATCAATATTTATAATAATTTTCCTGTCACCCAGTGTTTTGAAAAAAAAAGATATTCCGTACAGTCAAGGAAAGCGTTATTGCCGTATCATTTCTGACGATAATGTTTTAATGATTTATTACAGAATTTACTTAAATTCTTCAATGTTATTAATAATGCACTTAGTAAGATTTCATGTCACACGATGAAGGCCTGTGTACTAATAATAAAACAAATGATGGCAGTGTTATTCCCTTTATTGTTGAGTATAATCCAACTTTAACTCATATTGGTAATATCATTAAAAAGTATAGAGATTTACTTAAACTTCCAACTACATGTTCAGTTCAAAAGCTCCATGAAAGTTGACCTTTGGTTGCTTTTAAAAGACCTAAAAATCTTAAAGACATTCTTGTTAATCCTAAAGTTATGTCTAACAGAAATGCGAAATGTTCATCCAGATGTAATAGAAGCCGATGTATACAGTGCAGCTCCAGTTTTTTTAAAGTAATATTTTAAGTAGTACTTATATTCCTGGTAAGAACTATCATGTTAATTATAATGCTGATTGTTCTACGAAAAATGTTCTATATCTTGTCACATGTGATAAATGTAAAGAGCAGTATATTGGTCAAACGAAGCAACAAGTGTCCAAACGCATGAATAGCCATAGGTTTCATATCAACAATTTTTCCGATCCGTTATTTTCTACCAGTGTCGCTACACAATTTAATAAAAGCAATCATTGTCATTTGTTATTTTATAAACGTCATTTTTTTCTGAGGAAAGCTAAAGAAAGGCGATTTTTTTCATTGAATTGATTATATATAATTATTAGATATTAATGTAAACTTATCAATTGTTGAAGCGTTAAAATATATACCAGTAACTTTCAAATTTTGTTTAATAGTATTTATCCGAAAAGTTAATAAAATATATTATAAAAATGACTTTCTATTTTATAACATCAAATTAATAATCCGATTGAACGCAATTATTTTTGTGATAGAATAATTTTTGAATTGACCACACTTCAAGCAAACTCACAGGATAATTCCAGTCTCCCCAGTCGTGGCATCTATGTCCTATTTGTATATAGGTATGTCTGAGTCCATACGGAAAGTTCGAACTGCTCGAACTGCTTAAACAGGCTCTGTTGCTAGAGGAAGATGCCAAATACCTCAATGGACAAGAGTAAAGGGTAAACGACCTCTTATAGTGCACCTGCGCCTGGGCGAAACCTGAAGAAATTTATCTGATTATAACGCTTGCTTATAATAATTCAATTATGTTCTATCATGTGTGGGTGATCAATGACTTTTGATGTAAACGAAATAAGATTAAGAACCGTTTTTTTTTCTTTTTTCTTTGTTTTTGTTTTTTGTTTTTTTTTTTGCTCTAGAACTCATTTTAAAGTCCACATTTGAACATTTTATCTTTCATTATAGTAAAATCTTCGGAATAATTCATGTCATGTTACCCTGGTGTCAATATCTCTTGGTATGATTTTTCTTTCAAAGAGTCAATAAAATGGTTAAAATGTTAAAATTAAATTTTACAAATTACGCTCGTCTATTTCAAATATTGTTGCGCCCATACTGACTTAATGTAGGGTTTATCACTCAATTAACATATCTTACTAACCACGTTTAAATGTTATCAAATGAAATACGAGAACAAAGATATTTCAAAATAAAGGTGTATTGCAGTGTCGTAAAAATCTTATTAAATATAGAGGAGACCGAGGCAAAGTAAAACACTCTTTAAGTGTTAAAACACACTTAATTATGTGTTTCATTTACACAATTATTTCCTTTTCTAACCGAGAAACTCCGCATACTGCGGCTTAAGGATTGCCTTTTATGGAAAAGGTACATCATTTATCCCTGTGTGATTGTAGTGGCAACTACAATGAGTCTTAATACTTAAGCTTTATGATAATAAAAAGTGACAAAAATTGCTAGCATGGAACGAAATGACACACTATTGAAGAATATACAATTTTGTGAAATAATGAACTTACCCGTTTCTCTTGCTGGGAAAACCAGAAGAATCAATGAAAAATCTACAATTCAAATAACAGATAGTGCATAATTTCTGAAAAAGTTTCTGTTTTTTCTCATTTATGTAAAAAAGCGGTTTAGCAAAAATATATAAAAAAAAACGGTTCATATTTACTCTAGGAATTCAAATATTTATGATTTTTAACTAGTAGTGATTTTGAAATAACAACTATTACCATCCGCAGTCAAGAAATATACCATGGTGATTGTACTTTATTAATCATTTAAATAACCCTTTGTGGGTTCAGGGTTGAGGCATCATATTTAAAGTCACCGTTTATCCGTGGCGACTAATCGGATAACTGAAGTTTATGCATCTCTTAGGTTCAGTAGGTGATGTGGTTTTGAACCCTAGTACTAGTGTTGCTTTGAATTTGTAACAGCTGATGTTAGAAAAAAAGGATATTTCCTGTTTCGAAGCCATATTACCTTAATTGTGTTACTGCGCCGTAAAACCAAACAAAACAAATAAATCATTTAAAATTGCAATCTACATGGGTTTTCTTTGCGAAATCAGTTTTATAGCTAATAATATGCATCATATTCACCATAGTGTACTCACAAAGAAACAAAGTGTTCATGTTCTCCTTCTGTATATTGCAAATTTACAAATGCTGACCAAAAGTGTACTTATTCTGGAAAAACAATTAAAAATACTTTCGTAAGAACATTGTGCTGAATTATTTGGTAGTGATAAAATATCTTTGAGTTAAAATCCATTATCTTGTGCCTCTACAAGACTAACTGTGTTATATTTTTAATGAAATAATTATATGAACATACAAATGTATAGATGTTAGTTGTATCGAAAGTTTTGATTAAAAAATATTTTCATAAACTGTGACATATAAATAAATACAATTAAAGTTGCACTAAAAAAAGTGAAATCAAATCATAAAAACATAACTTTGCGTATCTTAAGATTAATATCATAATGTACTTACAGTGTTGAAGCCTTTGTGTTCAAGTCACTATTTAGTAACCGAAGCTTAATTTTCAAAAATATATAGATTCTTTTGTAAACTATCCGAGGCCAAAGGCGATTTATTATTTGTTGTTTGTGCACTGACACTATATAGCTATCATTTTATAAACTTCATACAATGAAACATTTTCTTTTATGCAGCATGTCTACAAACAGCCTATAAAGTGTAGTTTCATCTTAAATATATTGACATCAAAACATGTTATTAATAGTTTTTCCACTGAATTAACTCAAACTGAATATTGTTAGAGTTAGAGTTGTCTTGCGTTGAACGTTCATGATAAGAGCTCTACAATAACATTAACATTTTAAAGAGTTAAGCGGGATCTGTTTTTTCTTTCACTGTTCTCCAAAACAATTAAAAAATAAATAGAACAAAAACACAATTTATTGATGAATTATAATCTGGCAATATTCTTAACTAGGCTACATCGTATATAATGTCTCCAATATGCATAATCAAATTTACTTTAGTAAAACAACTAAAATCGTATGTAGACTTATACACTTTCTTTTATAAATTATACATAAAAACTCAATTTCTGTCAGTTATACATTTTAAAAGTACATTTAAATACTGAAAACTTGAAAAAGGAGATTCCTCGGATGCAATGAAAATTGCCAACTCGATTATAAGTCTAAATATAAACAGTTATAAATTAATGTGCATGAAGGACCAGAAAAACATAACAACTATAACGTGAATATGAGGCGAATTTTAAGTTCACTTTGATCTTTGCGGAATATGATGTCATTGGTGCATTCTATTATCCTATCATAATATCACCAGTTTGTCAAGTGGGATTTTACCGACTTTTTCCTTATTCCTTGAAGGTTCAAAACGTGTTTTGTTCTCTTATTATTTTTCCTGATTTGAAAGTAGACATGTTCAGTTGTATGTGTTTCCTGATGATAGGCATGTCAAACTGTTATACGCAGTGAAAAGAATACAGATAAAATAAAGGAAAAAACTTGGAATTGATTTTGTTTTGATTTCAAGTTTGCTTATTGATCAGAAAAGAAAACGAAAACAGTATTCCATAAAAATCTGTTTTTAAGAGGGTAAATTATCATTGTCATGTTTATGCTAACCGAAGGGTGAGCATATAGTCGCCTCTTTGTCCGTCCGTCCGTCCGCCCGTCTGTCCGGGCGAACATCCAATTGTCTATGAGCTTCATTCCGTCCATAATTTTAGTTAAAAAAAGATGGAAATCCTATAAACCGACTGGTTTATGTGGTAATTGTACTGATTTATGGGGGAAAATGCCACATAAGATCAAAGAAAAAGCACATAAACCCCAAATGTTGGCACGTCCTCCCGTCTATCTGCTTTTTTGTTCGAGACATAACAACAAGATGTTTCAACATGAAACTTTGTAGGTAGATAAATCTCATTGAGTAGATGTGCAGTGCCAAGAACCGTAACTCTGCTTTTATTTTAGAGTAATTGCCTTTTGTTCATGTTTATACTTTGAACTTTGTCTGGGACATGACTCTTAAACTATAAGAGATATCAACATGAAACTTTGTAGGTAGATAGATCTTATTAGGTAAACGTGCAATGCAAAAGAACCATAAATCTGCCTTGCCTAATTTTGGAGTTCTTGCCGTTTGTTTATTTTTACACTTTGAACTTCGTCCGGGACATAGCTTTGAAACTATAAGAGATCAACAAGAAACGTTGTAGGTAGATATATCTCATTTGAGAGATGCGTAGTGCACAAGAACGTAACTCTGTCTTGCCTTATTTTGGTCATTTTTAAACTTTGAACTTTGTCCGGGCCATAACTCTGAAACTAGAAGAGATATCAACACGAAACTTTGAAGGTAGGAAGATATCATTGGGTAGAAGTGCAGTTAAGAAAAAAACATAACTCCTATTTACGGAGTTATTGCCCCTTGTTCATTTTTAAAAATTTAACGTTGTCCGGGACATAACTCTAAAACTTTAAGATATATCAACATGAAACTTTGTAGGTAGATATATCTCATTGAAAAAAGTGCATTACAAAAGAGTTGTAACTCTGCTTTGCCTAATTTTGGAGTCATTGTCCTTTGTTCATTTAAACACTTTGAACTTTGTCCGGGACATAACTCTGTGACTAGAAGAGATATCAAAATAAAACTTTGTAGGTAGATAGATCTCATTAGGTAGGAGCGCAGTGCATAAGAACCGTAACTCTGCCTTACCTAATTTTGGAGTTATTACCCTTTGTCCATTTTTACAATTGAATATTGTCCAGGACATAATTCTACTGAATGTAAAACCTACACTTTGTAGGTAGATATATCTCATTGGGTAGATGTGCAGTGCACAAGAGCCGTAACTCTCTTGCCTAATTTTAAAGTTGTTGCCCTTTGTTCATATGTAATAGTTATAGAATATATACGAGGACTTTACCGGCTGGTATCAGCGCATGGGGCGACAACAAGGGTCAATCATAGGAAATTAATCGAGACGGAAAGTCGAGATTAATTTCCATGATTGACCCTTTTGTCGCCCCATGCGCTGATACCAGACGGTGAAGTCCGAGTATTTATTCTGTAACTGTTTTATCGCATGACCATCACGACTTTTTTCTTCTCTCGTATTATTTGCTTTATTTAAACATATAAATATTTTAAGAAATACCCACAGAAATACACTCATTAGATGCCGTTGAAAGAACTGGACATAAATAACCATTTCACGAGGTAAGTTGATGCATTTTTTTCTACATGCGAAATAATAATCATCTTTCCAGCTCATTTTCAAATTTAAATCAAGGAAATATTGTCGATAAGTATCCCGGTGTATATTTCAGAGGTATATCTTGTACGCGTATTTTTTTAAAACTAACGACAATGTAGTGATTTTTACTTAACACTACTTCCATCAATTAATAATAACGCTAGAATATTATGTTCATATACGTGTAGTGATTTACTGAATGGCTTACTGGTCAGAATCTCCTGTAAAACGAAGGCATTGTTTAAAGTAAAAAAAATGATAATTTGACCATTGTGTCAGCTTTGTCCTCGAATTCAGGATGCAGAAAATGGCGATTACTTTCCACTGGAGTCAACATCTTTATAATAACTGCATTTTCAGATTTTGAAAAAAAAATCGAGATGATATATAAATATTTAAAAAAAAGTCTGTAATCTGTGTAATGTTTTGTTTTGCTCTTTTTCAGGTATGCTTATTTTATTATTTGAAATAAAATAATAAACTGGGCATGGGCGAGAAAGTGTACTGATACCTCATTTAGAGCACCCAAAGCGTACTGATACTTCATTTAGAGCACCCCAAAGTTTTCCAATACTGAAATTTAGAGAACGCCGATCTTCAAAGGAAAGTTGTGGCGGTCATGCGATAATTACATTTTGAACATTGCCCGGGACATACCTCTGCCACTATAAGAGATTTGAACAAGAAATATTGTAGGTAGCTAGATATCTTTGGGTAGATGAGCAGTGCAAAGAACAGTTACTCTGTCTTGCCTAATTTTGAATAATTGCACTTTGAACTTTGTCCGCGACATAACTCGGAAACTACAAGAGGTAGACCTTTCTGGGTCCAAACCAAAAGCGGAAAACATCATGGTAAGTTTATTATATAGCGACATGAATGCTGAAAAGTTAATTTGTTTACTTGTTTGGTTTCTGAGTATCTTTTAGTAAAAAAAAAGTTATTTTCTTCAGAAAATCGTGGTGGTTAAAAGCGTTTGGAAAATTTTCTGTTTACTTTTCAGTTTTATGGTACTGATTGTAAATTACTGGTCAAGTATTTTCTGTATTTTTCCTTTTTCCTTGTAAAACAACTTGAAATCAATTGATTGTGTCATTCTCTCTGATTTTTAAATGTTGTTCCTTATTGTAAAAAATTATAGCCAGATGTTTGATGATTCGCCGTTAGTAGTGTGCTTAGACTTTCCTTGTGTAAAATATTTCTCGTAAGTAGATCTACTCAAAATAACGAATACGAATACGAAAAGTTTATTTGTATAAAGCATAGTACAATGCTTATAACAAGCATAATTTGTAATATATACAATGTTTGGAGATCAAAACATGGATTTTTCCAGCAAACATAAGATGTTTCATGGAATATTATGTTCAATATTCAATATAATATTTAACATGTTTAACATATATGTTGCGCTTGCATGCATAAGTTTCAAATAAACAGACGCCAACCTACAATATCCTGAATAGTCTGCACTTAACATTCTATCATTTTCTAAAATATAAAGACATGAAGAACACTAAAGTCCTTTAGACTAAAAGTAATATTCACTGTTGCAAGTCAGTTCTTTTGAAAGATATACATGCAAATGCAAACATCTTAAACAATAAATTATGGTTCGAATATATTTCATTTTCAAATATTACTAGAAGAGATATTATGAAATACGTTGTCTATTTGCTAAGTAAATAAATTTAGACAAAGCACATATAGTTTTCTTAGAATTAGAAGACATTAGGCTACCGAATGTTATAACAAGTAACCATGGATTTTCTATTCTATATCATATCTTGTTTGTTATTGTTCAACATTAGACTTCTCAATTTATACCTTGAAAATGATTTGCATGTTCACTGAAGTGTAGTATATTCATTTTGTTTAATATTTTTTTCGCATCATGATATTGTGATATGAATATGTTAAAAATGTTGATTGTTATAATGACTATTGAGCAGTAATCATCAATTTAATTCTATACATGTATTATTTTACCCCTTTACTTCTGTTTTGTTTTTGTTTTTTTTTTCTTTTTTTCTTCTTTTTTTCTCTCCAAACCTACCAATTGAACTACATTTTTCACTGTAAATTTTCTATGTCCATCCAGTGACAACTTTTTGTTACAATCGAATCACATTGGTGAAATACAAGTAAGTTTACAAATATAACATGTAATATCAATTTATTTACCATTATATTTTTCTTTTCGCTATTAACTGCTATTTGAGCCTCATTGTACCTTTATTCATGTTTGTTACCTCATGCTTGTACATGAAAGGAGAGAA